CATGTGGAAACTAACAATGAAGACAATAAAGATGAATACTTGATTCAAAAATACATATATTATTAGATTAACTAAACACATTTTGAACAAAATTAAAATTGCTTTTTATTTATATTAAATAAATAATATTTCACATCAAAATAAACCAGTGTTTTAACAAATCGTATTAAATAATGTGATAACAGAACTGTGAACAGAATAGCTGAAACTTTACAAAATAAATAACTCAGTTACCTCTAATCATTAACCCATGTTTGTATAATGTTTGTTAACTCTGTGTGTTGCTGCTAGCATACATAACACCTGACGTGGAAACGTTACTCGTGGACGGGGCTACAGAGCTATGAAAGACAGTCGAACCCGGTGCATTCCTCCGTCTGAATGTGGTGCACTTTTGCTAAATGTTTAGACAAATTGCTCGTGTGACCGCCCTTACATGCTAAACTCTTATTGCACTTTTGGCAACGAGCATTGTCCACATCGAGACGGGTAAAGTTGAACCACACCTCGGAGCGCGTTCTCTCCGCCATCTCCTCAGTGTGTTGCTGCATGTAGGAGCTGCGTGTGTGTAAACTGCCCCGCCCCCTCGCACACAGACGGGAGAGAGAGATCTCGTCTGATCGAAAATACATCATAGACGCATTTATTTGTCTTTTTGCATATTAGAAACGAGTTGGCGACACTAAGACTGTGATATAATGTTTTTGTAGCAATAATACATGACGTATTTTTTTTTAAATGTCTCCAGTACCGATAAAAAGACCAATAACGTTGGATCTTAACGGCGCGTAAAACACACGTGATGATGTCACCAACGAATCGACGACTAAATTAGTGGCAACTAATTTGGTAATCGATTTTAATCGATTAAGTCGATCAGTTGTTGCACCCATAATACACACATATATATATATCGTATATATATATATTTCAACATATTTATTGTTGTGTTAACAGGGATAAATCACTTCTTTAAATAGCAGTTTAATTCACATGGCTGTACCTTCAGGGCTGCCTTGCGGTGGTCTGCCATCACGGTGAGCTTCTCCAGCAGCCCCCGCAGAAACTCCAGTGTGGCATGAGACACCAGAGCCCCCACCTCCAGACCCACCTCCGTCAGCCCCAGACCCTGACCTGACGCAGCACACAACAAGAGGCAGAGACACATCATAGCAGGGGGGTGACAATCATCCAGCCCACAGGATGGATTTTCAAAGTGTGAAAATGACAGAGAAGACATTAACTGCATTTTTCACAACTCCAATGTATTTTGTATGTACACATTTTAAACATTTACAAGGCAGGGGGATAACTTAACGTTCTTCCCTAATAGTTCCCACTTTAGTTTGTATGGTGGTGTGTCAGTTCAGGGGGTCACGATTGCTACACAGATGTGGAAAGGGATGTACAATAAGTCGTTTTGATTCTAAAGGGAACATTTGTATTGTTCAGTTCCAGATAATGTGTTTAGATACACTGTGATCTGTAAGTTTGAATGCATATGTGAAGTCATTGAAATTGCACTCATTTTCTTAAGAAATGTCAGGTTGTTCATATTGTTTTTTTAAAAGATAGTTAATTAAATGTGAACATATGCAGAAAGTACATCTTAGCAATAAAATAAGAGAAGGAGTTGTCGTTATTTATAGGTTATTATGATATGATTGTACTGGTCCAGCCCACTTGAGATCAAATTTGGCCACTGAACTAAAAAGAGTTCGACACCCCCAGCATTATAACTAAACTTGTAAGGAAAATGGTTAAAAACACAAAATGTTAGCTTAAACAACAATATTTAGTGTTAAAAATGGTTAATTATTAATAGGCATTGCACAATTGTATTATGTATTTGACCACACAGACTTACGGAGCATTGTTTTATTATCACTGTTCTAGCAAAGTGATTGTTTTGAAAGGAATGCTCACGTTCATATTGATGTATTTTAATAAATGTTAACTTGGCCCATTACGTGACTATTTATGTTGGGGGGTCATGACAGAAAAAGTTTGAGAACCACTGCTCTAATATTAAAGGAATGTTTGGGTAGTCTGAGCTCCTGTACCTGTGCGCAGGATGCGGCTGAGCAGTGGTGGGGGGGACAGGAAGGGCTGGTCCTGGCAGGACTGCACCACGGAGCCCACCACTGAGATCAGGATCTGAGCGTTCTCCTCCCGCAGGTTCACTCCCGCCATGGAGGCCACGTCATTGATGTCATCATCTTCTCTGGGACGCACAGGAACAGACGCACGTGCACACAGACACATTAGATGAAGGGAAATGGCCAATTTGAAATCCTTTAAACCAAAGATGTATCAATGTATTACTTGTAAGATCCTGAGCTGTCCTTGAAAGCAAACTTGGTGGGACGATCCTGAATGAAGGGCCGCTTCAGTGTAAATGTTCCTGAAAAAACAGCCATAACAAATTCATGTGGAAGGTAGCATTTCAGTCTGTGTTCAAGCTGGTTGACTATCAACTTCACTTTGCTTCTTTTTTTAGGAAACAAACACTCATTTCAGAAATGTGAGTTTGGTCAATTCCGTGACTGCTTGCCACTTTGAAGGGTCAAATATCCTCTCCACTTGGTTGTCTATATTTGGATAATGAAATCTCATCAGGGGGCTTTTGCAATCTACACCTGGCATCATTACTATCTTGGTATCATGATTTGGACAGAATAGGGATTCAATCTCAATATGCAAATGGGATAACACTAGCTGAGTCTAGCTTAGACTAGCTGAGACTAGCTGAGTCTAGCTGAGTCTAGCTGAGACTAGCTGAGTCTAGCTGAGATGATTGTGGGAAGTGGACAACTGCATCCAATATTTCTGGAAGTTATTCATAGTAATAGATAGAAAGTGAATGTTATGAATGAACATTTGAACTTTTTGGTTTGTGATAATAATGATAAGGTTAAATGGAACTTTGTTCAAGTTTAGTTGCCCAGAATTTTTAAGAGCCAATAATGTTTCAATGTCTAAAATGGAATATTCAAAACCTTTTATACATTATATTTACATAACCTTAACTGGAAAGCTTGCAGAAGCTAAAGTTTCTATTATTTTAAAACTCAGGCACTGAACCATGCCCCCACACGCCCCAGGGAACTTGAGTAACTGTGATTGGAAGATATAAATAATATAAACTGTTCCCCAACCCTACTCTGTGTAGAGTTACATCCCCATTACAGATCTTAATACCAGGTGGACATAAGATGTTTTACAAAGAACATTCAGCCAGTGATGTTGGTCAGCTAATCACATTTCATTAAATCCTATACACACAGAAAACTGTCCATTTTAATGTGATAACTAATTACATTTCCTCTCTGTCAGACTGTATGCCTTTACCATGACCATTTGGCTGATCTGAAGGTTAAGAATTGGCAAGAATGACAATCAATTTGTGACATTCCCACAGATCCCCCTCCCCTCACTGTTACCTGTGAAGTTTCTGGGGCTGGGTTTGCTGATCTTAGACATGTCAATTCTGGGCTGAGCAAAAGTCACCAACCCAGATGTCAGAGTCACGGCTCGAGGTTGCTGGGTAACCTGCAATTCAAGGAAATTCATTAAGATGAGAGTTAGTGTCCCAGAGGGAGACGTGTTTCATAGCCAGCACAGAAACAATATTTCATTTGGACTATGTGCCGATAACGCTCTGATCCGATATTATTGTCCTACATAATACAGCTGCACGGTGCAAACTCTTAACTGCATTACCATCATTAAAATAAGGGGTGTACTGATTGTAGGGCTGTCCCGAATACAATTTTTCGGGCTCCGGATATTCGGTAGTAATCAGCAGCAAATATTCGGATATTCGGCCAGCGCGCGGGGGCGGGCGTAGTAATCTGCAGCGAACCGCTTCAGCACGTGTATTTCGGTTTATTCGCGGCACTCATTTTGTTATTCTACAGTATTGTTGTTATATAGTTATTTGTTAATGTAAATAACCCAATTTGTGTTCTTTGAAATGTAAAAGGATATTGCATTGTGTTTGTTACTTTCGTTGCAGTTGTATATGTCTTAAGTGTAATTTGGCTTGGCTTCCTATTTATGGACATGCTTTTATTTTGAAGGAGAGTTAGCGCTGTTGACAGGAAGTTGTTGTTGCTATGGAAACAACGTGACAGAGATTAACGGAGAAAAAGTAATATCTACATATAAAGACGAAGAAAGTAAACAATAACGTTTATGGTTAAGTGTTAGCACCCCCTGAAGAGGCACAAGCTCTTACGTTGATATTGGAGATTTCAATAAATTCAATAAAAAAAGAAGGAAAAAAAAGAAAAAAGAATATCCAAATAACGAAATTGAAACCCGAATAGTACTCCAATGAACAAATATTCGGGTATAGCCCTAACTGATAGCAGATCTTTCAGGCGATAGAGATGTGTAGAATAACAGTTTGGCCAATGCTGATCATTATGTTCATTTTTCACCCTTTTGGAAACAAATATATCTTCATTAAAGAAATGTTTTAAGCCCTTTATCAAACTTTGAATAGGAACACAATTCTAAAAAATTGCTTTTACCATAGCTTCTTAAGGCTGCTTTACAATTAACTACGCAATGAAAATGTTATAAGTACCAATAGTAAGTGGTTAAGTTTGACTTTTTTGTTGTACGTCATAATCTATCATTATTATCCCTAATTATTATTGAGAATGCTGTTATTCTTTTTCAAATGTACACTGCTCACCATATTTCATGTGTTTACCTTCAGGCTGGTACTGAGGCTGTTTGCTGTGACAGTGCTGTTCTGCTTCATGGTGGTCAGCAGAGTGTTGTTGTTGTTGTTGATGTTGTTGTTATTAGTGTTGCTGTTGTTGTTGTTGTTGCTGCGGACAGGAGTTGAAGCCTGTTGGATAAACAGCTGCGGGTCTGCAGTGAGGCGACGAACTGCAGGAAGACTTTTCTAGTAGAAATCACAACAAGAAAATAAGTCATGTCATCAGCCAAATTCCATTTTGACACCAGAATGCTTATTTAATTGTTTATATGAAGACTTAACTTGGAGTTCAAATTACATTTGATTCACCAAACAATGGGTAGAGCTCAGGTAAAACTAGTTGGTAAAGTTAAATGGAAAAGCAGAAGGTGATAGCCTGACAACAATCCAGTTTCATCTTTTTAAATCAAGTTACTTATATAATTAAAATACATAAGTAGAAGGTTGATGTGATCGGTTTGTCATTTGAACTAATGAAAGGCATTATTAAGGTTAGCCAAAAATGAAAAGCTTCCAGCTGAATCTCTGCTCACCTTGAGAAAAGGCACCAAGCAGGACTGTGGAGTCGACTTCAGCTCTCGATAGAGCTGCTCTGTGAACTCCTCTGCTTCCAGCTTCCCCTCCTGCACGATAGAAAAAAAGGAAACATATTATTGTCAGGTATTGAAATGCTTTTCCAGCCTAAATGGACATCTTTTAATATAATTTACACATATCAAATCAAGTTTTATTTATATAGCACATTTATAAACGATTTTTGGTCGAGCCAAAGTGCTGTACATATAATAAAAATAGCCTA